TATTTTTAATTTATAAAAAATGTGCATAAATTTCAATTATACAACGCACCTATTTTCTATAAATTATTGTGTACCTATTTTTAATTTATGAAAAATGTACGAAAATTTCAATTACAAAGTAATTGACCTTTGATTTTTTTAAATTTTTGGGTGAATAATATACCTATATTTTTATACATATATATTTATATTTATATTTTTCATATGTACATTATTGGATATGTAATTTACTTTTTTTTTTTTTTAGGTTTGCAATTTTAGGGGGCGATATGTTAGAGGGAATGACAACAAAAAGAAATGGGGTGATTGATATGCTATTAATAGGGAGTTTTAATTACAATTATGGCAGTTAATGAAATGTTTAGAATAAATTATAAATAAAATATAAAGTCTGATGGCAAGGATGTAAAAATATAGGAATACTATGACCACTTATATCCTACTGGTCATTTAAGTTTGAAATTGGGTTTTACACATAGATTTATAGAATGATGAGTATATGTCTAGGAAATAGAAATTGTAGGGAACTATATTGGACAAGCCCTTAAAAATATTATTCTATGTTTTTACTACCATATCCCTTTTTAGAAGGAATGAAGGGTATAAGAAAACGGGTGAAGAAAGTGGAGGTTCAAGACTTTTGGGTCTCTTCCACCTGGGATTCCGATGGATGCTGTTGCAGAAGGGGACTGTTTCATGTGCTCCTTACCAGAAGATTCAAGTGGCAACAGCAGCCCTGTTGATCATTCTCATGAAAGAAAAACAAAGATGGTGGAGATGGCTCTTGGGTTAGTGGTGTTAGGGGTGGCAACAGGGAGAAAGCCGGTAGTGGATGATGGAACAGTGGTTGTTGATTGGGTTTGGGGCATGTGGGAAAACGGGAAACTGATTGAAGCTGCTGATCGGAGGTTGATGGGGAGATACGGTAGAGATGGAAAGAACGTTGATGACTGGACTTGCTTGTGTGCACCCAAACCATGTGAAGAGGCCAACAATGAAGGAAGCAGGGAGGATTCTTAAAGGCGAAGCGCCACTTCCTGTGTTGCCAGCAAGCGAACCAAGACTAAACCTTCGGCCTGTTTTTCCTAATGATTCTGAAGAGAGCTCAAATTTCTGTGGTCTTCGGCCCAGTCTTGAACTCGATGATGTACAATATTTGACCCCCAAGAGCCACTTTGGCAAGGATTAGTAGCTCATGAAAGATCGAGTAACCTCAGATTTGAGAGAGAATTTCAGCGCAGTTTGTAACAGACTAGCTAGGACCGTCTTGTTGATTGGGGGCCTGAGAATCCTTCAGTTGCAATAGTTTGTAGATTTTGTAGTCATAATTTGTCCTAATAATAGTCGTGCCCTCCGTTGACTTCGGCTTTACTAATGATTAAACTTGTTTTGTTGAAACCCTTATTGTGAGTAGCATTTGCTGCTGCAGAATAAACCAATCTTAAAATGGCATAACATGCTCGATAAGGCATGAGCTCTAGTATGATAAGTGTTTCTTCAAAGGGTAACTTATTCTAGGGCAACTACTCCTTTATACCGTTGGGCTCCTGTAAAGGGGAACCTCACCAGCTTACAGGTCATAATTCTTAGGTGGGCCAATTTATTAGAAGAATCACTAGAATGTTTTGATGTCAAATAGAAATGAAATACTCTGTGTTTTCCATGACAGCTTCATTTTCTGATTTCTAAAACACCACCAATCAATCCTAAAGCAGCTAAAGAGGATTGACATGTTCTCAAATTCAGTATAATATAATGCACAATGATTTACGGAATTTGTTTTGTTTTGCAGAGAAAATATTGCTATTTCTGGACTATAACGAGTGTTGGTTTTTTAGGATGAAAAAGTGAACAACAAAGTGATTTTATTTATTCCGCAATAGGTGGATTCAAGACTTTATTGAGGACTAGGCTTATTGGCCTTTTTCACTTTTTGCTGGCTATTTGGCCTTTTCTCTCTCTTAGCTTTGTACAAGAGACAACATCTATTTATACACTAAAGCTGCCGCCATTGTCCATGTCGGTGGACTTGGCTTCTTCCCATATCCACTACTTTATAATATTATTACTTTATTACAAGATTTTTATTAAGAATTTTTTAGGAGCTTACAACAATTATCTCTTGAAGCTTGACTTTGTCAAGTTGGTAGACTTTTCTTGGGTTTTCTAATTTTTTTCTAGATTTTTCTAAATTCTTCAAGTGTGTATTAAATTTAACAACGAGCTTCCGTTACTTATAAAACTGACTGAAACAAATTAAATCTGCCACAGTAATACATTGCTGATCAGGAACTTGTGGTTGGTTCATTCTCATAAATATCCAGCAGTGCAGACACTGAGGTTCATCACCATGAGAACCTCTTCCAGTGCTAATGAGAACACCCTGACCCAAAGCATCGAT